GTGTAGCCTCACCACAATCAAGGGGACCAATTGTCACATGACTTAATCTGGCATAAATCAAGAAAAAACTCCCCCAAAGTCAGTCACCCCAGAATGAAAGAAGCAAGATATCCAAAATTGAACTAACTTGATTACTCATATGGAAGGAATTGCCTGATTGCAGCCTTTGCACACTACTGTATCAACCTCTTCCGTTCCCTTCACAAGCATTTAAATGTAAAGATATAAATCAAAACTGCAGGACAGAAAAAGAGAAAGACAAAAGTTACCTTGATGGTTTCCACTTCCAGGAGATCCTTCTGGAAACCATTCTGCTTTTATTAGATTTACTCTCTGTAAATTAGGATTAGTTTTTTACATGGATTTATGAAATAGCTATGGTTCTACTGAAAGGAGGGTGAACCCTCTGGTATAAGGCAGGGAGTATGTGCTCTTTTTCATCTGTTATTGGTAAGTTACAGTATGTAGGTTAAAGGCCCCTCGATACCAGTGAAAGAAGAGATCTAGTTCCAGACATGGAAAATGCTTAAATCTTGTGTATGCCAGCCAGTGATATTAATATTGTATAAAACAGCCAGTTGTCAAAGGGCCAGATTCTGTTCTCAGTTACACTGGTGTAAACCAGACTTTTTTTCCTTTTTTTCAGAGGCAATGGATTTGCTTTCACATGTGCTTGAACAGTTGAATTTAGACTCTGGTTGTCTGTGTTCAGAGACAATCTCTTAGTTCTTGTTTTAGTTGCTGCGGGGGAAAAAAAATGTGAGCCACTGGTGTTGTTCCTTGTCCGTCGTTGTTCCAACTCCCATGTGGTGGGCATATTTCAGAGGGCTTTGATGCAAGTGCGACTTCACTCAAGGCACGGTTGTGCAAATTTTTAGCTCTTGTTAATAAATCTGTAAGGTACTTTGTGAAGGCAGATGTACGGTGGATTGGCTGAACCATGTAATTTCATGGATTCAGCATAAGTGTTCTGTTCCTTTGCAGGGAGAAAATGTATTTTCTGATTTGACAGCTACAAGAGGAGATAATCATTTTTGACAGCACAGGGATAATGTTCATGTTATTCTAGGAAATCTCCGTCTTCACACAAATAGGTATCAGTGTGTGCTACAGTTGGTATTGCTGAACTTTGGGGGAAGCTTCAAGTTTCTGTGTTTTGATAATATGATAAATCGATAAAATGCATATTTAGAAAGCCCTAATGAATTTCAGACTTGTATCATTTGGGGAATGAAAGAAAGAAAATGCTTTTATTATGAGTCCAGTATAATCTTAAACATTTTAAAAGAATCCACAGTATTTTGGAGGGAAGATACATCTTGAATATATTCCAGGTAACATTGCTGATGGAAAAAGTGAGGAACTGTGAATTGGGTTTTGTAAGTATGACTGATTTACTAACTTCTCTTTGTGGTGTGGCCTTTAAAAGTGTATAGAACTTATTTCACCAGTATTCAACAGTGTATTTAGATACCCTTCAAATGTGATTCATATATCCAAATTAACAACCACAAGTCTGATTATACAGTCTTGCTAAGGTAGATATTGCCCCTGAAGTGAGTTAAATTGTGACGGGATGAAGCCAGAATAGGAATGGGATAAAGCCGGATGGAGCTGTGGACTCCAGAGGATATAATGATAATTTATGTCGTGATTACAAGCAGGGCAGAGCTAATCATTACAAACACCCACTATGAGCTGAAAGGCATCCAAAGTGATCTTCTTAAATGCCTCGGTCCAAAACCACCAAATACAACTGACTGCCCTGTGCAGGCCAAAAGATGCTACATTTCTCTACAGCTTTTTAGACTCTTCAGAGTCAGTCAGAACAATCACAGAGTATCAATGAATTCAGGTCTCTGAATATAAATCTGAAATAACTAGAACATATATATGAATTACCATGAAGAAGGCTAACGGCCCATTTTGTATAGTTTAAATACAGATTAGTTTATCTTTAAAATATCATGTATCATTCCTAAAACTCTTACGCGGGCTTTTTGTTTATATAAAATAATGCTGGCCTACACTTCCTAAGACTTATCACATCCTTGGTATTGTGATGGAGCAGGGTAGGAAAAACCCTGTACTATTTTTCTGATTTCAGAGATTCTGACTTCTTAAAAAAATAAAAATCAAATAAATAAATGGTCAAGAAATGTAATGTATCAGCCAAAAACTGAAAACTTTTCACTGGAAATGGGGAATTCTATTCTGGAAACGTCACAGTAATGCCTCACGAGACTTGTAATTTGGGTGTCACATGTACCCACTCTTTTCTTCTGGATGCTTGCCTGGGTTACGTCTTCATCTGCCATGGTCTTCACTATTACAATGGTGCCGTGGAGCATGATGGGGAGGCTATGGAGCCCAGCCAGCGGAGGAGAATGGACTTTTGTGCTGTGATCCTTTTCACAATTTCTCCAGTTACCAGAGACTTTTTCTGCCTTCCCCAGTCACCTGTTTCTTCTCGTTTATACTCACCAAAAGCCTGAATGTGATTCTCCTCACTTTCAAAGCATTCATTGACTGTAACTATAGAGGACCGCAGCAGCTCAGGCTCTCCTACTTGCCTTTAGTTAGCCATAGGGATACCAGCTTTCAATAAGAAGACACTGAGGTTCATGTATGTTAAGGGTACCTTTGCTCTGAGGAGCTGTGCTGAAGTGGTAACTGACTAAAATGAGCACAGTCTCTGATTGGAACTTCACAAACGATGTAACAAAACAGCAGTGATTGCAAAACTTCATGAGTACAATTTTACTTACCCTTATATCATGAAAATATCATTAAATAGATACTGTGATATCTGCTTAATTAGGTAATATTATACCTTTTTAATATAGGTGCAATACCTCTATAATATAGATGTAAAACAGTGCAGACTGAGTGATGAACTGATTGAGAGCAGCTCTGCAGAGGATGACTTGGGGATACTGGAAGATGAAAAATTGGATATAGTCTAGCAATGTGCACATGAAGCCCAGAAAGCCAGTAGTATCCTGGGCTGCATAAAAAGAAGTGTGGCCAGCAGGTCAAGGGAGGTGATTCTCCTCCTCTACTCCACACTCGTGAGAACCCACCTGGAGTACTGCATCCAGCTCTGGCTCCCCCAGTACCAGAAGGACTTGGACCTGTTCGAGCAAGTCCAGAGGAGGGCCACAAAAATAGTCAAAGGACTGGAACACCTCTCCTGTGAAGAAAGGCTGAGAGTGTTGGGGTTGTTCAGCCTGGAGAAGCAAAGGCTCCAGGGAGACCTTATTGCAGCCTTTCAATATGTTAAGGGGGCTTATAAGAAAGATGGAGAAAGACCGGTTCCAAGCCATTCTGTGATTCTATATCAATACATACCTGCTCTGGATAATACCACAAGTTATAGTGTTGAAATGGTAGAAGTTGTGCTGTCAATAGCAGGTCCAATGTGGGTTTCAGTAGAAGAAGAACCAGACCTGAGAGCTGTGTGAAGTAGGTTGGTTGTGATGAGGACGTTTGTAAGTCCTATGGCTACTCAGAGGGATTCATTTTGCTCAACTGCAGCTGTCTAAACATCAGGTACTCAGTTTAAGTTGCTTATTTAAGTGCCTTCTATAGTCGAGAGGAAAGCATGTTCTGAAGTTGCATGCACCCATCTTAGATGCCCATTTTGAGACAGCTGAATGACATAGGCATTGTCTGGGTAAAACCCATAGACAACAAAACTATGATGAGATGAATCATGCCTTGTAACACCTTAGTAAAGGACAAACCTTGATGTTTGTGAGAATCAATGATTTGCATGAAACTGAGCACAGGCTTTGTCTTTTCTGTCACTTTGATGCAGAATTAATTTTCTTCCTCAGTGCGCAACACACAGTGCCTCTGTAGAGAATGGACTAACTACAGCGCAGCGTAGCTCTATAGTACCCATCACCATGAGCATTGGATACAAGGGTAAAGGAGTTACTCTGGACTCTGTATGCAATCTACAGAAATATGCTTGCCATTAGTATCTGACACCATTATGTCTCCATGAAAAAAACAGATTAGAGGGAAATCTAGTATTTTAAAAACATGATTCATATACAGTAGTGAAAACTATTGTAAATGGCTATTGTGACTTCTTTATCTAGCCTCTGAAGGCTAAATTTCTTAGAAATACTTTTATACATGCTTATCTGTGAGTATTTGATTAGTTCACTACAGGTACAAAACACAACTAATAAGCTTTAAGTTAAATGGAATTGCTAGCATTTGACCAATGCAATCTAAGTGCTGAGTTCCTCCTTTGTCCTCTCTTTTTAGCTAGATTATCATTTGTGGTTATATATGTATTTCTGAAGGATATTGCTATAGCTCTAGTCTGGTTTTCCAAGTCTGGTAAAATTGAATATTCACCAGAGCAGAATATATTATTATTAGCATTAGCATTTATAATAATAGTTTACTTGGAAAATACAGTTAAATGTATACATTGAAACAAAATTAGTTTAATTTTTTCACACTGTTGACCTGACAGTAAAGTAGAAACATGCCCATCTAAAGTCATAATCACAGAGATAATTGTCTGCAAAGAAAAACTTGACTTACGTCACTGTTTTCAGAGCTCCTGTCCCTGAAAATAAAGGGACTCTGAAACATCCCTCTCCAAAATCTGACACAGACAAGACTCTACCGTAAAAATACACAGAAGGAAGGCAAGCTATCAGACTAAGTTTTTTCTGAGTTAGATTATGAAGTGTAAAATAGCCACAAAACTTTAAAAAGAGAAATAAACAACCATAATTCACAGATCCAAAGTCCTTTGGAATTGATTTTTGCTTCCTTGTGAAAGGTTTCTTACCACTGCCATGTCATTTACAAGAATTTTACAAGGAGATCCAAAATAAGCATACAAAATATGCAAATGAGCATACAAAGTAATGAACATAGAGGGTTCTTAGTCAAAGGCTTATGATTTTTTTCTTTTTTTGACAGTGAACGGTGGCTACAATCATTGTAATTTGATCTCTGAGAAGAAGAACATGATGGACACGGAGATGACAAGTAGCCCAGTACCCGTCTGCAGACAAGGTCTGTTCATCCACACAGGAAACCCACTTATGCGAGACCACCCACTGTCCTGTGAGAGACTGCTTCATGTTGGTCAGCTGAACTTGACACACTCAGATATAAGGTATCACTGCAAGTTTTATCAGTTGATGTACTTTGCTCTTCTGGAGTGCTTCTTTGTTGGAACTATTTCCCAGTAGCATCTGTTGGCGCTACATTTGGAAGAGTATTTTTGGCTTTTACTTCATTTTGGAAGTCCCTTGGATGCTCATTTAACCACACTGCTCATTTGCAGGTTCGCACTGCAGGGACATGCACGTATGCACAGACAGCTGTCCAAGGCAGTGCCAAGAGGAGTCACTGTGTATGCAGCCGCAGCCCCCTGCGTTGAAGTTTAAATACAGCTTCTTTGGGGGGAGCTCTTCCAGCATGCTCAAAAGTCAATGAGCCAGAGGCTTAAGTAGGGTCAGCCTTGCCTCCTCTATACCTCCACCCCAATGCCATGTTGTTTCCAAATTGCAGCCTGGAAGGCAGGGATGATACTTACTCCCAAACCAATGTCTCCCATATGGCAATTTGGCATGCCACCATCAAACCTACAGGAAGCCAATGCCACTTTTATTTCTACAGCATTTCCTTTAATGAAGTATTTTCAATGTTCCCATACAGCCACATCCTTGGTATTTGCTGTTAAGGCCGTAATGTGAAAATTTGGTCTCTGGTTTTGATATATACACTGTAGTTGGATATGCTATGAACGGAATCTCTATTTAAACATTTGCTATAAATTAATTATATGAAAACACAGAACTCCATTATTTTTTTGTTGTTGTTACAAATTTAACATTACCAGATTTCAAACAAGTACCCTAAACAGACATCCATTGTGAATAGAAGCCTGCTACAAATTAAAATCTGTCCATCTATTTTAATTATGCTGCTTTTTGGCAGGGGATATAATACAGAATAATCCTGACATTTTTGAAGAGCTATAGAAAAGAAAAGCCTCCATAAAGTTGCAGCCTTTATCTTAGATACTTGGAATAATTGGCACTCTGTGCATGGAACTATCAAGCCCAAATTTCCATAGTCACAGCAAGAGGAAATACGGCCAATAGCTTGGTCTTGGAAATCTGACTGTTTCTGTTTTTATTATACATATTTATGTCTTGTTTCCTCTTTTCCATTTAATGGTGGGGTAAGAACATCTGTGTTTTCAGGAGGAGGAGGCACAGCAATATGCCAAGCAAGTGGAAAGAGCTGTTTGTTTGTTTGTTTGTTTGAAAAGGACAAATAATATCCATGCCGCATAGCAAAATATTCTGCTATCGCTACAAAGATTCGTAGATGCCGTTGCAGCTGGATGTAAGTCTGCTTCCTCCTAGCTTCTTTATGGCTCAATGTGGGACTGGCAGTTACCAACCTTTTTTTATTCTGTCAGTGAGGACAATTATGAAACAAAGATAATTAGGGCAGGAGCAAACAAAAGGAGGAAGAGAGAATTCTGCTTAGATCTTTTTGAACCTTTCTGTAAAATCTATAATGAGGAAATGACAGATACCTGCATACCAGGGGTCACAGTACCCACCCTCAGAAATATGAACCCCTTCCAGCCCCCATTTGGAAGAGGATTCCCAGAACAACATAAAAGATTGCTGCATAACATGAGAAGATGATAGGCCTGATTCTCTCCCCTTTGCATTGTAGCATGGTCTAAAGCCTTGAGGCTCTGCTGCTTCTAAGCAACAGTTTGGAAATGTTTGGAGAATATCTTGAAGAACCCTTCCATTGCTTTACGGGTTGTTTGTGTGTCCCACTGGTCATGCTCTGCTTGTATGTCCACCTGGCTAATACTACTTTTGTCTGCATGGGATTTACAAGGTAAAGCCAATGCCCAGCTCTGCTCTGTGGACGTCGTAGGCACAGTGTCTAATTTTATCACCGTACTTCTCATGAGACATATGGTACAGAGCCAAAACCTTGGCACATGAGAGAAGGTGGACGGCAGTTGGGACAATTTCTGTTCATGGTGTTTGTGATACTAAAGGTTCTTGACAACAAAGTAACAGAAAACATGGTCTTTCCCTGAAGATCTGAAAAGAGGAGAACATAACTGAGGTGGGGGTGAATGCCTGTCGGGTTTCAGTGAAGTCAATGGGAGCCAAGGGTGCTCTGTGCCTCTCAGATTTCAGCCTTCGTTAGATGAGAAGAATCGAAATAGATAAGAGAAATAGGGCTGGAATGGACAGATATCTGAGCACACAGAAGTCAGGGCAAACTCTATTTGGCTGTTCTGTCCAGCTCTAGTGACCAGCACAGAAATAAAGGGAGATACAAATCCAACGATCTGTCTGGGTTGAGCTTTGAACCACTCTGCTTTTCTACGATATGCAATGTCCAAGGAAAACCCAAACAAACCAGAGAGCATGTCCCCTAGCAATCCAAAATCTCCCTTAGGATTTGGGGTTATGATTGGCTTTGTCCTTTTTTCCTTCAGTGCACTGAAACTTGTTATCCCCTTCAGCTTTTCCCTGAATCACTTTCTCTCAGAAACTGTATTCTAGGGATGACTGCCTTAATCCAAGAATCACAGTCCCTCTTCTTCCTGGCCCCTTTTCCCCACTCAGTTAATAGCTTTTAAGTTGTGCAATGTAATGGCTGCTACATGGTATCTGTGAATGCAATGTGTGTGGGACTGGAAAAGTCCTAATACCTTCTTTACCACAATTGGAGTCAGCACACAGCTAACGTTGGCCTTTTGTCAAATAATCCATTATCAGACACAGCAAACACGCCCACACTGTGCTCCGTGCTCAGCATATAAAACCCGGGGAAGACATCAGAGCAGTCAGATAGTGTTGCAAAGGGTCCCTGGATGTGCAGCAGAACAATCCCCTCCAGCTTCTTAAAACTGTCAGTTATCACTGATTGCACATTTACAGTGGCAATTGAAGACATGTATGTTTTGTAAGCAGTCTGGAGATTTCAGATACAGTCGTCTTTTCCTTTGAGGGCAGTTGGGAACTGCAGTACTTCTGGCATGGTGCTACTCGCCTCGTGCTCTGGCTCCAAATACCACGTAAGGGAGTCCCTTCGGAAACACTGCCTTAGTATCCTCTGAGAGGCTGCTGTTACTCTTTGAGGGCCTTACACTCAGCTTTCATGTGCTTAAGCAGCAGTTCTCTTGCCTTGGACTGTCCATCCCTGGTACATGGATGCTCCCTGTGAAGAGAGGTTTGTGGGATATATTCTCCTGCTGGCCCCACTCCTTTCCAGGGTTGCTCATCTGGAAGCTCCCCAGAGCTGCTCATGCTGATTGCTTGTCCACACAGTGCTCTTTACACTGTCCTGCTATCCTTTGTCTCTGTCACTCTCCTCTTGGCTGTTTGTTTCATATGCATTTATATTTTGCTGCTGTCCAGAGATAATGAAATCCTTACAGCCAGCACTACCTGTGTCTACCAGGCCTGGAATTCTGATCCCTGGCTGTAACAGCAAGATGCCATTACAGGAGCAAATAGTCAATGGGTATAAGAGGAGCCACCCAGCAAGTTGGATGCCAGACACCTTGTCTCTCATATCAGTTTTGTTTCTGTGCCCCTTCTCTCCCTGCCCCCTAGGACTGGGAGGAACAAGAAGGGCTTTCCTTAGAACAGTGATGGCAAAATTCTGCCAGGAGTACACAAAGTTTGCATTAATGCAGCCTTGACATTAAGTACCCCAACACTCAAACACTGGGAAATTGAAAGAATGCCAGATTCTCCCAGCAGAGTTAACTAGCACAGGGTATATAATGTATTTAAATATACAGTGCTACAGATAAAACTGTAGCTCCCAGAAAAGACTTGCTTCTGATCTGCACAAGCAGCCTGTGCTTATCATGATGTAGGCAGTGTGGATAAGACATGGCTGTGGCAATGGGAAGCATGAATGCAGTGCCTTCATGCCATTTGCTTTTGAAATAAGGTATTCCAGCTTGTCTTTTGGTTCAAAACTCCCCTCTTTCGTGTGTCTTTCATTCTGCACTGCAGCATCACAGCAATACAGTCCTGACTCTGAGTAAGATCTTGGTGCTGGAAATGCAGATCGATGTTGCTGGGAGTTTTGGGAACCTAATGTTTCTCAGGACAGGATGTTTGTATCCATCCTGCAGGTACTGTGCACTGACTCCAGCTTGAACTCCTCACATGGATTTCTGGCAAGATGGGAGCTTTACATAAAGCTTAATAATATGACACCAATTATCACAGGCTGAAATGTAAGGCTTGGGTTAGCTTTATATGATGTAAGAAATGTGTTGTGTTTACTTTAGCCTGAGGCTTTGGGACCACTGAGCTATGATACAAACTGAATTATTTAGAATAGCTCTTGTACAGAAGAAACTAAGTAATAGGAAATACTGCGCCTGGCATGGTATGCTGTAAAACCTTTCTTAAATGAGTGTAAAACAGCACACTTTCTACTGAGCAATGAAGCTACAAGCAAGCAGGGCAGGGTTTCCCAAATACGTGCAATAAAAGGTTTTTACATATGCTTGTGCCACATATTTTACAGACATATGGTTCTGTAAATGTTAAGAAATAATGTATGAATACTGTTGGGTTTGTTGGTGGTGTTTTTTTTTTTTTAAATTTACCATCTGCAAGACCAGGTGCTTTACGTTTACCCTGAGACCAACTGTGGAAACCTAAAGGGAGAAATTATAACTAATGGATTATGGAAACATCTAAAATTTTTAAATGTAGTCTTTTTAAACTTCTGGTGGCAAATGCAAGATCTGATTGTTCTGTAGCAATGAATGGTGGGGAATTTCACTGCTCTCATGACCTTGAGGGTTTTATATCAAGCCCTACTGGCTGCAAACATTTGGAGCTTAGAAACCTGTCACTAGTGAATGCAGTGTGACAGTTGTGTGCCTTAGGTGTCATTTTTTGACAACCTTAATTTCATGGGAAGGAAGTCTTTTTGAAGCTTTTTGTTGTTTTGTTTTTTCTAATTGATAGTTCTTTGAGAGATGTTACCAAGGAAGTGTTAGAAGTCATCCCAGCTTCCTGTCTTAATGTTAGTGATGGATTAATAGAAATAATAGTGACAAAATCATCTAAGTTCAGTTTATTCAGCAGCTTCACAGTTTAATGTATGTATATGTCCAGAATACTTTATGCATATGTGTTTCATGCTTTAAAATGTGTCAGATTTGTCTTAGCTGCGGTGTCACACACAAGTTGCAAAATGGCCAGGTTTTCTTCAGCTTTTCTGGTGCTAGCATCAGAAAAGCATAAAATTCATTTAAGTGGAACATGTCAGCATAAGCGCCATGGAGCACCGCTCTGGAGGGTTTATTAGTTCAGGTAGAACTTTCCTGCATACAGATGTACTGTTTCCTCTTCTCAGTCTGGCACATCACTGCATGATGAAGCCATAGGTTAAACCCTACTATGCTTTAGGGATACGTAAGGAGCACCTGCTGGTCCTAATTAAAAACACAGTTGGGTCACCCACAGTAAACGTTTATAGCTGAGATAAAGTGTTTTGGTTTAAGGCATAAACAAATCGCTAACTGCTTGGAAGAAAATGTTAGGAGGAAACGTTTTCTAAATGCAGTGTTTTTCTGAAATGTCTATGTGGGGTTGCTCAAGGTTCTGCTTCCTGAGTGGTTGGATTCAGCACACATCAGAAAAGATTAAAAATAATTTCTGCAGAAAATCTTCTTTTGATTTGCAGACCCGTGTAGACTTTAATAGGAAAAATGGAAATGGGAAGACATACAGTGCAAGTTTAAATCCACCAGTTGTGAAGTTTTCTTAGTTATCTTTTGTAGACCTCTTAGAAGTAAATACTCAGCTGATCTCTCATTGACTCTGGACCACTGGTTGAAAGCGAGACATTCTTTCTTTGTATTCTTTTTTCCCCTACTGCTCTTGCTCCTTTTTTAATTTTGCGAAAGAAAGCATCTCTGACGTGTAAGCAAAGCTCAGCTAGCTTTTTTGGATTTGTGTCAACAAGAATGCCAAGGCGTTTTCCCAGTGTGCTCTGAGGAAAATGCCAATATTTGAATAATTCAAAAATACCCAAAGCTTTCAAATTTCATTCTCAGTTATTGTTTTGCCCGATCTATTACGCATTGAAAACCTACATTGTGATTGATGAACGGCCCATAGCAGTGGAGGGGAGATTGTCTGTTCCGTGCGTAACCCAGTGTGTAAAATTAATCCTGTGTAAAACGATGCTGCCTTTACAAGGGTTGTAGAGGAAGCATTGCAGATTTTTTTGGTGTAATTGCTACATTAGGTAACATTCAGCAGGGAGCAAGTGCTTCCATTCTCCAGGGCTTAACAAGTGGTGTGTCTTGTACAAAAGTCATAAATCCTGTGGTGGTTAGTGATGCTTAATGAAAACTGTATTACAGGTCACCCAGGTTTCAAGACTCAGTAGATTCTGCTGCTCCATGCCTGAATGGAAGTCACCCGGCTCAGCACATTAAACAAGAATGCCCGAGTGATTATAAGGTTCTGTCTGAGGCTTCCACACATAGGAGGATTACGGAGGGGATGGAGCTGAGAGCCTCCAGTAGTCTGCATCCTGAAATAGACCTAATGAATAATAGCTTTACAAATTCACTTTCATCCTACTTGTTTAATAATGAACATAGCTCCTCCCTGGGTCCTTTGTCACTTGGCACCCCTCAGCACTCAGCCAGGCTACAAACAAGCAACCTGAAGAAGAGATGCATCTCTGTTGTGCCGTCTTCAGCTGAAGGAATTGATATTACAGCTATCATCCGCACATCACAGACGTCACTGGTCACCTGTGTGAATGGACTGCGAACTAATTCAGCTGGCATTTCCTCTCATCCTGTGGAGATCAGTCATCACAGTGCTCAAAAATCCTCTCGGCCCCAGTCTTGCTCTCAGCCTGGAAACCCTTGCAGTATTCCCTCCCCTCCAGCATGTCTTGTACCTATTTCTGCTGAATGTGACAGAGGTGACTGTGAGCAGATACAAATGCAGCAAGTCGAGGAGAATGGAAGCCTCAGCCTTATGATGAACGGTACTAGCATTCCTCATCAAAACACCTCGCACAGCACCCAGAAGGTGAGTTTCTTAAAACAAGAACCAGCTGACGATTATTCCTCCACTGCTGATCTTTTTCGACATCATCAGGGGCTGCCTCCCCCTTACCATCTGCACCAGCAACTAAGCCAAACTCAAGGGACACTGCCTCACTTACACACCTCTATGTCTCCAAAGTCCCTTCAGCCCAGTGACGGGGATGAACAGGACCTCAGCAATGGTAAACAGGTCTGTCGGTGGATTGACTGCAGTGCCACTTATGACCAACAAGACGAACTGGTCAGACACATAGAAAAGACTCACATTGACCAGCGAAAAGGAGAGGACTTCACTTGCTTTTGGGCAGGCTGCGTCCGCCGATATAAACCCTTCAATGCTCGTTACAAACTGCTGATTCATATGAGAGTTCATTCTGGAGAAAAACCAAACAAGTGCATGGTAAGTCTGGAATATATTTGTTTGAATAGAAACATACTACTCTGCTCTCTTTCTTGCTCCCTCTTCAATCTTATTCCAAAATAATTGTTGTGCTTTCCTGTAACTTAGTCTGCAGCAGGCTAAAGGGGAACTGCAGAAAACCTTAATCTAGAAGGAAATGTTTGAGTAAGAAATACTGTAGTTCTTGGAAAAGGGATTCAGTTTCCTTATATGAGAGCTTAACTTTTAATACAGTGCTTTATTTTTTTTAATATTCATTAAAGCATTAATAAAGTGATGATCAAAGCACGCAGCAGTCATTTAACGTAAAACAAGTCACTGAGCCTCGGGTGGCATTTTTAATCAAGAAACATAAAACACATCTAATGAAATTCTTTTCATTCCTTCAGCTGAACAATAACCCATAGAGTTGTGAGTGCAAAAGTTTCAAATGGTTGTTTAGAAAAGAAAAAGAAACTTGTTAAGGATTTTAAACAGTTAAAAGAATAAAAGAAGTATCTTTAATTACATTTTCAAAGGTTGTTAGGGGCTTTTTTAATTTGCAAAACAGAGCTTTAAAAATAAGTAAAAACCATTGTTCTCTTCTGATCAAGAAGATGTAAACAACATCAGTGTTCCAAAAAGAGGATCTTGGGAATAACACCATCTCTGCATCTGCCCACCATGATGACAATATGGCCAAACTAAAATAAAAGTTAATGACTTCCATTAAGCTTTCCACATGTTTGAAACAACAATGATATAAGACCCTGACTGAAACAGATGAAGCAAAACAAGTTTGACATAAGCTTCCAAACTGGGCCATGAAATTTGGAAAGTCTTATTTGTAACACCCACATGCGCACGCGTGTGCATGCATGCACATGCACACAGGCACACACACACAAATAAGTACAAACAAAAGGAATGGTTAATGCACCACATTCTGGTTCTTGATAGGCAGAATTTCTGACTATCTGTCTATTTCATTGTTTTGATCACAGAATGATACAATGGCAAATGCTTGTTAAGGAAGTTAGATCAAGACAAACTTTTCCATGGCAAGCTGTAGCTTTCTATGGAGGAATAGGAAAGAATGTTTATATAAAAAGCTTACTTTTTTCCATTTGTTCAAGAAGGAGCTTGCTGGCCTGCAATGGTCATGGAGGGGAGAAGGAAGAAAACAACAGTATTCAAAATGTTTTACAGAGAAAAATTTTCTCTGTAAGTGGTCATCCTGATTATCTTTTTACTTCTAATGTATAAATGAAAAACGTTATCTTAATGTCTGCAGTGTTCAGTGGATATTGGATAATGCAAGTTAGTTGCCTCTTTCCAAACAAAAAGTGTAAACAAGCTGTGAAAGCATACTTACAGATTTTATTTTAGCCTACTTTTTGGCTTTAGTGTTTTTATCATCTGGAATGAGATCGGTCTTCTCCCCACTTTTATCTCACACTTTTAAAAAGAAATACTTAAAATGTGGAACCCCGATTAGCTTTACTGTGATGCTGAAAGAGTCAGTAGACTCCATGGGTGAGGGAACTTTTGTCTTTTTCTGCAAAATGCATATTTGACAGGTATTGTATAGCAGATTTCTAATGTTACATTCCTATTCCTACAGGAAACTGGATAAACCAGAGATGTTAAATCATGTAACATCTTAGCAAATGCTAAAAATTTCCTCCTTTCAATTATGTTAATCTGCATTAAGAACCAGCTTTTGATAACATCTCCAGTTTTAACATTGTGAATAGGTTGGAAAAACCTTTGCATCTGATATTGCAGACAGCCTTCATGGCACATGTATATAGCTTTGGCATGTAAGTACATAAAGATCTGTTTTATTTGAGCAGATATTGTAGCTGTTCCCATACATGGAATGGCCCAATCAGAATTAGGAGCTTTACATTGCACAACTTGCAGTTAACTCTTCTATTCCCAGAATAAGACCCTTCCACTGTCAGCAGAAGTATCCATGTATTAAATGTTACAACCTGGAATCCTGTGTGGAGCAAAGCTGGATCCTAGTAAGCACATGAAAAAATATGTCTTCTTTGCAAATTTAGTTTCTAACCTGGAAAGACCTTGATCTAGCAGGGACAAGATCCAAAGCTGCAACACGGCTCCTTAAATTTATTAATATCAAGTGGGGATTATTTGCCCAGTGAATTCCATTCCACTTTAAACAAGGGTTGCTGTGCAGTGTTTCATTCTGCAGTGATGTCATGTCATTTTAAATGATGGCTTTTCTTTTGATGTGGTAATAATTGTGCTGTTATTCCTGCAAATTAAGGTGGCAATTCATTCTCTGTCTATAGAGGTCTGAGATTTTGGTTCATTTTTGCTGTAGCCCTGTTAAAGTAACTTTACATCTCTTGGTATTTGTAGTGGAGATTTTCTTTCGCCATTCACAATTACCCATTGTACTTTCTTTTTAAGCCCTTGATTTTATTCCTCTCTGTAAGATTACTGGCTGACTAGGTATTGAACTGCTCAGGAGAAGCTACCAGTGAGCAGCACCCCACCCTCATATATAAAAGTACTTTTCCATGTAAAACTATTAATTTCTTATGACAGGCTTTGCTACTATGTACTGTAATAGACAAAGGAATTTTGGAATTCAGGCTACTTGAGAACAGGAAATACATGAGACATTTTGATTGAAAAGTAAATGGTTCACTAAAACTGCAGTTAATCCTTTTATTATCTTTCCAACAGCAGTTTCCACAATACTTTCATGAGGTAAGCTTCCTTCAGTCCAACTGTAACACTCTCATCGTTACAGCTGGTTTAAATTTAGCTAGCCTGCTTCTTTCTTTACTACAGACAGTCGACAGGCAAAACAGTATCTAGTGTAGAGAACTACTGATGTTTCAGGTCCATATTCTGTTCGCTCTGTTTCATTGCCAAAAACGGTACTATGAGTATCCTGTTTTCATATTCTGTTAAATATTCTAATTAAGTGGTGCCTTCTCGTCATTGTGTCCCTCCGTTTGGTTTTTCCTAGGGCTCTGCAAGTAGTCTAAAGGAAACTACCTAATCTCTTTGCAATATCCTGTTATGTTTCATACTTAACTCATGTTATTTTAGTTTTATTAAATTTGGGGTTCATCTGCATTATAATCAAAAATATATCCAACAAAAATAATGATGCAATGCCTTTAAGACTGTAACTTCTGAAGATTAATTTCATGCTTTTTTAGATTTGATGTCCCAGACAATTGGAATTTTGATTGTCTGAGACAGCAAAAATTAGCAAGCTTAAATGGTTTTTATTTTAAAAAAAAAGTTTCTCATAGCTGCATCTTCTCCTGCCTTTCAGTTCTTCTAATACTTTGGTGGGTAGAACCCTGCTGATCTCCAGCTATTGCATCCTCAGTTTAAACTTCTGCTTGCAAATGTAAATACAGAGCTGCTCATTTAGTTGTCTAGAATTGTTTGATTTGGGCAAATCCATACTTGGCTTATCAGTTTACCCTCTTGCACTCTTGTGACTTCATAAAGAGTAGAAAATTAAGTTCCCATCACTGCATGCATATGTGCTCAGGGAAGCTATGTTGCTGGCCTCCACAGACATAATCAGGGTAAATATATTTATCTTTATATAATTTCCACATATGCAATTAGTGTTTATAGAAATTGGGTATAATAGCATATGTGATATCCATGAGAGGAGCTGGACAGTGATAAGAGCAATTGTTGATGTCTCTAGTTCATGTATTTCAAAGAAACAAATGACTCCTGAGTATGTTCTAGACCTGTCTGTGACATTGTGTTCCTGCCTAGATATTTAAGACTTTGAAGCAGAATCTTTTTTTCTTGTATATATGCAACATGTTCAGTTTGGGAATAGTCTTGATGCAATGATTTGGGTGCTGTATTGTACACAGTGAAATTCAGCACTTGTGCTTGTCAGTTCTTTTGAATCCCTAAGGGTGAGACACTATAGGTACTGCATTAAACACAGGGAAATTGAGACATAGAGAAAATAGGTAACATGCCTAAGGGCATCTTTAGGTAATTCCAGTATTCCAGCGCAGCTCTTGTGTTCAAATCACTACATCACACAAACTAACCATTTGCAGTTTACCTATGAAACAGATTTTTGTACAGATTTGCTGAACTTCCTGATGTTTTTACTGTACATCTCTGACACAGGTGGTTTGACATGTCAAAAACCTGTAAAAACTTTCATCAGAAGCCTCGGCTACATTTATAACACTTCATGGGCAGCAACCTGGTTATTACGATTACAGGAGAAAGGGGCCTATTGAGCAGATCAGTGTTATTGCTTCTGCTGCTAAGGAAACCAATGCGGAATCTCTGCTCTCAGTAGATAGCAAGTATTATGCTGTCTGCGGTCAGTGGGGAGCATGTGTCTAGCAATGCATGGTGAGTAATGAGATCTCTACAGGCTACATCTATAGATGAGTCTAAGGGACGATCCTGTTTCTTCAGGGAAAATAGGTCTGCATGCACCAGCTTATATGCTTTTGAGTTACTTCACCTAGACAATAAGTTTCCATGTCTGACTCGAGGGAATGTTGTGGAAGTCTGGAAAGTATTTTCAGCTTTTGGAGTGGAGGGTGTCATGCACTGATGCCAAAGGAGTGCTTTAAAAAACCAACAATAATACTAGCTTCACTTTCTTTCCTTTGAAGTCAATAGCAGGAAACATCCATTCTATCAAAGCTGCCTCACCAGAGATCTCTCTTTTTATTAGGTCTCTGATGGCATTTCCCAATACTGTCAAGGAACTGCAGCATTAAAAACACTCTGATTAGAGGAGTAGACAGCAATTCAGTGGTTTTGTGAAAATACAATGTTTGTTTGTTTACAAAACCCACTGCAAATTACATGACAGTACAAATGGGTTTAAGCATGCACCAGCACTGGAGGGCAGACTGGCAAATGGCTTTAGGCTTGGCACTGTGTCAGCTAATGCCCAATGGCAGCTGATGAATTTGAACTCTTGTCTGTCCACTGGAGAGCTCCAGACTAGCAGAATTTGCAGAGCA